TGATTCATTGCTTTCAGCTGTGTGATTCCCAATTTGTTCTGTGTTAGTGTTCTGCACTTGTTACGGGTTGGCTTGGGTTCTGAGGTTGCATTTTGTTCCTTCTCATCATTTTGTGTAGCACTGTCTTCTGACCTTTGTTGTAGATCCTCATTATAGGTATAACCTTAGCACGTACTGAAGTTCATGTGCAGATCTACAAAGTTTGGATTTATCCAGTTGTGCCTGGCTTGGGTCTGGCTGCTGTACTCAGCTCCTTCCTGCTGCTGCCCTTGAGGGTGAACCTGTTGTGCCCCTATGGCAAGATGTTCTGCTCCTGGAGTAGCTGGTGGATCTATCCTCTACATTCTCTGCAGGATTGCAGCTGCAGGGTTGCACCCCAGGCATGTATGCCAGGCCTGAGCTGTGCCTGGCGGGAACAAGGTGGAGTTGGTGGGAGAGGCAGCTCTTCCACACACTCACTTGGTCTGGGCTAGGACTGGGTCTGGGTGGTCCCGGAACCTGGCAGAAATTTCTACTGGGTGGGAGGGGTGGAGGAGGTGCTGCGGAGTTGTTGGGGGCATCCCAAGAGGGTGGAAGAGGTTATCACCCACGCTATGCCTGGGCTGGGATCAGTAGTAGGCCCCGTGGTTGCGTGGAAGCAGGAAGCTCTCCCACACACTCACTGGACCTGGGCTAGGACTGGGTCTGGGGGTTTCTGGAATGCGGCAGAAATTTCTGCTTGGCGGGCGGTGTGGGGTAGGTGTTGCGGAATGGTGGGGGGCGTCCCAAGGGGGCGGAAGAGGGTCTCACCCATGCTGCGCCTAGGCTGGGACCAGTAGTCAGTCCTGCTGGCTCAAGGTAGGTGGAAGCTCTCCCACACACTCACCGGAACTGGACCAGGACTGGGTCTGGGGGTTCCCAGAACGTGGCAGAAATTCCTGCTCCTCCTAGTTGTTTTAAGAGATCCTTTCTTACCTTTTCACTAGGTGCACCAGCGTCTTCAAGATCTGAAATCCTGTCTTCAATTTCACTTAAACAGTTTTGCAAGCTTGTGATTTAGATTTTAATTTCCTCTATATCTCTTTAACTCAGCTTCATGTGACCTATTTCTTTCCTGTATTGCTCTTTCAAGGAATCTGTCATTTTTGTAATCTCCTCTATTTTTTATATCAATGTCTTCTTTAGAAGCAGTTATCAATTCTTTTACTGCAGTGTTTTTTTCAGGTTGGGTTTTCTACCTGTGTTTCTGTAGTTGATTCTGTACTTCAGATGCTATGAGTTCTGAAAATTTGTTTTTTATCTCAGAAAAGAATTCCGCTCTGAATTCCTCTATGACTTTCTGTTGTTGCTTATTTACTATCGACGCTATTAATTCATACATTTTAGCTGAGCTAGTGTCCTCTGCATTTGTTCTGGGTGGGCATTGGGTTTCCTCCATATATTTCTGCATTTGATTCTTTACTGCAGGTGTTACTAATTCAGGAGTTCCTTTTTTCATTTCCAAACTTAGTTCCTCTATACCTTTCTGCAGCTGTTTCTTTACTTCAGAAGCCATTGATTTATTGCTTTCAGCTGTATGTTTTCCAATTTTTTCTGTGTTAGTGTCCTCTGTACTTGTTATGGTGGGCTTGGGTTCTGAGGTTGCATTTTGCTCCTTCTCATTGTCATTTTGTGTAGCACTGTGTTCTGACCTTTGTTGTAGAGCTTTGGTGTAGTTATAACCTTAGCACCTACTGAAGTTCAAGTGCAGATCTACAAAGTTTGGATTTATCCAGCTGTGCCTGTCTTGCGTCTGGCTGCTGTGCTTAGCTCCTTCTGATACAGGGAGAAAAACTGGTCTCGGGTGGGTGACCTCCAAATGATATAGGGAACCTCCAAATGACATAGAGAAAAAATGATCTCTGGACCTGACCTGCACTAGTTCGTGTTCTCTAAAACAGAAGAATGAATTTTAGGAACAAACGGAGGTTATGAGCAGAATATATTTATTGAGAGAAAGAAAGCTCCTGTCCAAGAGAGGGACAGGAGGGGGGTCCGAGCGGGTAGTTCCCCCGGGAAGCTGTCTCTTCCAGGGACTTTTATAGTGTAAAACCATGTGAGGCTAAGGCAGAGAGAATGGAAACTGGCTTAGGTGGGCAGGAGGTGGGACAAAACTATGGTCAACCAATGGGATTACAAGTACCATTGCTCAGGTAAAACTGATTAAATCCAGAATCAAATGGGAAAGGGAGTCAAGTCACTTAGCAAGCGGGGCATGAATAGGGAACAGGGTCTCTTCCTGTTGGGAGTTGGGCTAGTGACTCATTTGGGCTCTTTCAAGTTGATTGATACCTATTTAGAATATCAATCCCAGGTGCTCTCGTTTAGCATTTGTTTGGCCTTCAGGTCTTTAGGTCTGGCTCACAGCAGGAGCATCTGCCCCTCCCACAGTTGTAAGGCATCTCATCTTCTGTGCTGTCTCCTTCGAGGGCCTGGCCCTGTCTGACTGCCTATAATATTTCTATCTAACTGGGCTGCCTGCAATACTTCCTGCTGCTGCCCTTGGGGGTGAACCTGTTGTGCCCCCTGGCACGATGTTCTGCTCCTGGACTAGCTGGGTGGTTCTGTCCCCTATACTCTCTGCAGGAATTGCAGCTGCAGGGTTTCAACTAGGCCTGTATGCCAGGCCTAAGTTGAGTCTGGAGGGGACAATGTGGAGTAGAGCGGATGAGGAGCTCTCCCACACACTCACTGGGCCTGGACTAGGACTGGATCTGGGCGTTTCCAGAATGCGACAGAAATTCCTACTCTGTGTAAGGGTTGTGGGGGTTACTTTGGAGTGATGCGAGGCGTCCCAAGTAGGTGAAAGAGGGTTTCACCCACGCTGCACCTGGGCTGGGATCAGTAGGTCATGCCAGCACAGGGTAGCCAGAAGCTTTCCCACACACTCAAGTGGCCTGGGCTAGGATTGGATCTGGGGGTTCCTGGAATGCGGCAGAAATTCCTACTGGGCAGGCAGGGT